CCCCAGTCCAAGCCCAATAGCAAGGGAGGTGCTCCATTGTAACAGCTGACTTTCTTTACTGGACACTAGTTAATTGTCTGTGTGCCCCTAGACTCTGAAGCCATCCAGCTTGGGCTCACCTATTGGATGCACTGTGTTCTGTTTGTACCCCAGGGCCACTATTCTACCTCTGTTTCTGTGACATGGTGACCATCGTGGCTGGGGATGGGGCTCAGGGTAGCCTAGCATACACAAGGCCTTGGGTTCTATCCTCAACCATTAAAAAGAAAATGACAATCAGCCAGGTACTGGTGACGCATGCCTATAATCCTAGCTACTTGGGAGGCTGAGCTCTGAAGGCAGCTCAGGCAGGAAGTCCATGAGACTTACCTCCCACTAATCAGCAAAAACCCGGAAGTAAAGCCGGGCACCAGTGGCTCATACCTGTAACCTTAGCTACTCAGGAGACTGAGATCTGAGGATTGTGGTTCAAAGCCAGCCCTAGGAGGAAAGTCTGTGAGACCCTTATCTCCAATTAACCACCAGAAAACAGGAAGTGGTGCTGGGGCTCAAGCAGTAGAGCGCTCACCTTGAGCTGAAGAGCGCAGGAACAGCGCCGAGGCCCAGAGTTCAAGCCCCACGACTGACAAAAAAATAAGCTGGAAGTAGAGGTATGGTTCAATGGTAGAGCAGTAGCCTTGAGTGAAAAAGCCAAGTAAGAGTTCAAGGTTCTGAGAGCTGGGAATGTGGCTTAGTGGTAGAGTGCTTGCCTCACATGCATGAAGACCTGGATTCAATTCCTCAATACCACATAAACAGAAAAGGCCAGAAATGGCTGAAGTGGTAGAGTGCTAGCCTTGAGCAAAAGCAGCTCAGGGACAGTGCCCAGGCCCTGAGTTCAAGCCCTACGATTGGCAAACAAACAAATAAAAACAAAACAAAAGGTATAAAGGAGTAAGCAGTAGGAAAGGAAGTCTTTTTTTTTTTTTTTTGGTCTGGTTGTGGGGCTTGAACTCTGGGCCTGGGCGCTGTCCCTCAGCTCTTCAGCTCAAGGCTAGCGCTTTACCACTTGAGCCACAGCGCCAAAGGAAGTCTTTCTTTTACACTCAGCATTTGCTAGTTAAATTTCTGCAGTCTTCCTCCAGGCCAGTCTGTGTCACTTATTTTATTCCTATGCAAATGGAATGTGGTGACAGTTACAGACTCTGGAGACAAACCCCTAGGTATGTCCAAACTCTGTCACTTCCAAACCATGTAAGGCTTTGTGCAGGGGATTTCACCACCCTGTGCCTCAGTTGGCTTGTTTTTGGAATGAGATGCAGACCTCACCACCTCAGGGACTTGAGCACCTAGAAAACTTGTGGAAGCTTTTAAACAATATCTGGCCTCAATAAAACTTCCTAAGTTTTTTCCCCCCTCATTTCTTGTCTCTTTATGTTGTTGGTGCTCTACCATTTGAGCTATGCCTTCATCACGCTCCCCTTTCCCCCCAGTTATTTTCAAGGTAGGCTCTTGATTTGGGCCCAGCCTGACTTGGGCTTAGCTCCTTCTACTTGTGCTTCTCTGTGTTCCTGGGAATTTCAGGTGCACATCTCTGCATGCAGCTGATACGCTTTCACCACAGTTGGGATCACAGGCATGCACTACTTTGCCCATCCATTGGTTCTGTGTTAGATTTTACACTCTTTTTTTTTTTTTTTTTTGGTCAGTCGTGGGTCCTGAACTCTGGACCTGGGTGCTGTCCCTCAGCTCTTCAGCTTAAGGCTCACATTCTACCACTTGAGCCACAGCACCACTTCTGGCTTTTTCTGTTTATGTGGTGCTGAGGAATTGAATCCGGGGACTCATGCATACAAGGCAAGCACTCTACCACTGAACCACCTTCCCAGCCCTGTTTTTCATTTTTTATACATTGATCTCTGCCTTTCAAGCATCTGGGACTAAAGGCCTAAGCCAATGCACCAGGTACTGGTGGCTTATGCCTATAGTTACTCAGGAGGCTGAGAACAGTGCTTCAAACACACTTTCCTGACCCAGCTGGCTTTGAATCTCAATACTCACATCTCATGAGCCAACAGTGCCCAACTAAGAGGAACTTCTTGACGGCCTTCTTATAATTATGATTATTATATTTTTATTATCTTTAAGTAGTGGGAATCATCCAACAAAGCAGTTTATGAATACAATGAATCTTCATAGATGTCACCCCTTTCAATATTGTCCTTTATTATTTTTTCATTCTTTTCTTTTCTTTGTCAGTTGTGGGGCCTGAACTCAGGGCCTAGGCGCTGTCCCTCAGCTCTTCAGCTCAAGGCTCGCGCTCTACCACTTGAGCCACAGCACCACTCCTGGCTTTTTTCTTTTTGCTTTTGTGGTGCTGAGGAATTGAACCCAGGGCCTCAGGCTTGCAAGGCAAACGCTATACCACTGAGCCACCATCCTAACCCTGTTACTATCATTTTTTTAATGCGCAGGGCTTGAACTGGGACTTGAACTTGGGTCCTGGGCGCTGTCGCTCAACTTTCGCTGAGCTTTCTTTTGCTCAAGGCCAGCGCTCTACCACTTTGAGCCATGGCTCTATTTCCTTCTTTTTGGTGGTTAATTGGATAAGAATCTCATGGACTTTCCTGCCGGGACTGGCTCTGCACGGTGGTCCTCAGTTCCTCAGCTAGGATTACAGGAGTGAGCTGCATGCGCCTAGCTTTATCATTCTTTGATGGTCTTTTGAAAAGCACAACCTTCAGCTCTCCCGCCCTCAAGTGCCTTGGCCCTTGAGCTCCGCCTCCAACCCTTCACAAGCAACTCCGGATTGGGGAGGGGCGGTCCGCGTTACCACGGAGACCAACGCATTACCATGGAGACAGACGCGCCACGCGGGCCCGCCTCCGGAAGACGGAAGCGGGTTGCGGAAGCTCGCGGGGCGCCATTTTGAGAACGGGCAGGAGAGACGGGAGAAGCGCTGCCAAGCAACGGTTGGCCGGTTCAAACCAAGTGACTGGTACTACGGGGTGGGGAGGAGAGGGCAGTGCCATCCCAGGGGGGATGCGGGGGGGTGGGAAGGGGTTGGGAAGGGGCGGGGAGGGAAAAAGACAGGGGAAGGGCTGTAGATTTTGTGGGACCCGCGAGAGGAGGGGCGAGGGAGGCCGAGGAGGGCGGCGAGAGGGCGGGGCGGCGGGGGGCGTGGCCGGGGCCGGCCTGGAAGATGAGCGGAGGCGGCCACTCGCGCTGGGGCATGGAGCGGACCCGACTTCACGGCGTGGAGAGGGGGCGTGAGAACAGGTGGGGGGAGAAGGTGACGCGGCTGGTGGGGAATGTGAGGATCGTGAAGGCGGGCTGGTCTTGGAACAAGGAAAGGGCGCCGGACGAGGAGAGGGACGAGGAGAGGTCCGCGGGCGAGGGCAACATCCCCAGGGAGGAGCTATTCAAAACCGAGGAAAAATTCCGGGACTCGGAGTTATTTGGAGGTGAACTACCGCACTGCTGGGACGACGAGGCGTTCGGAATCCGGGAGGGGTACTGCGGCGGCGGTGAGCGGTGTCGAACCCGGGAGGGATGCTATGGTGGCGAAGAACGGTGTCGGGTCCGGGAGGGATGCTTTGGTGCCGAGGAGCGGTGTCGGGCCCGGGAGGCGTACTGTAGCGGCGAAGAGCGGTGTCGAGCCCCGGAGGGATGGGCCAAAGACCTCTACCGACGACGGGAGGGATCCCAGAGTGCAGACAGATTCGGAGGAGAGGAGATATCCTGGGGCGAAGAGAGATACCGAGGCCTGGAGGGAACCCGAGGTGAAATGCGATACCGAAGCCGGGAGGGATCCCGGGGTGAGGTGCGATACCGAAGCCGGGAGGGATCCCGGGGTGAAATGCTATTCCGAGGCCGGGAGGGATCCCGGGGAGGGGAACGATTCCGAAGCCGGGAGGAATCCCGGGCTGAAGCGAGATACCCAGGCCGGGAGGGATCCCGGGCTGAAGCGAGATACCAAAGCCGGGAGGGAACCCGGGCTGAAGCGAGATACCAAAGCCGGGAGGGAACCCGGGCTGAAACGAGATACCAGCGCCGGGAGGGAACCCGGGCTGAAGCGAGATACCACAGCCGGGAGGGATCCCGGGGTGAAGAGAAATACCGAGGCAGAGAAGGATCCTGGGTGGAAGAGAGATCGCGAATCGGGAGGAAGTCCCGAGCCGGGGAGAGATTCTGGGGCGAAAAGAGACATCGATTCGGGGACAGATCGCGGGGTGAGGAGCACTGTCGAGGCAGCGATGGACCCTGGGGCGAAGAGAGATTCGGTGGAGAAGATAGGTCCCCGTGGGTGGAAGAGGTGTACCGGGAGGGATCCCGAGTGGAGGACCGGTCCCAGGAGGAAGAGTGGATCCTTAAGGAGAATGGGCGGGGCGAAGACCGAGTGCTGGGCCGGGACAGGTCCGGGAGCTTGCGGAAGCTGAATAGGGACCCCCTCCGAGGGGAGGAGCTGTCGGCCGAGAAGGGGCGTGGCGAGGAAGCTGTGACGGCGGAGCTACCGCCCAGGAATCCCGGGAAAGCGTGGGAGATGGAGCCCGGGGAGGGGCAGGGGCGGGACACGGAGCGAAAGCGCAGCGCGCACTCCCCGAGTCGGAAACCGCGGAATGGGCGCCGTGTGGAGAAGTTCCGGGAAGTGGTCGCCGAGCGGGGTCAGACCAAGCCGAAGAACAACCGGTCCTTGAGCAAGGTGGCAGAATGGAGAAGGGGGAGCTTCGAGGGAAAGAGGGAAGGTAGGGAAAGGAGCGAGAGCAGAGGCAAGAACAGGGATGGGAATAGGACAACGGATAACAAGAAGGGATTGCTCAAAGGACGAAACTGTAACCGAGACCGGCCGAAGAGCAATGACCTAAAACTGAGAGAGGTCGGAACCAGGATGAAGATCAGGCGAAAGGAGCCGGACAGAAGGAGGCACCCGAGCATTAGTAGGGGCGGGGCCCGGAGCCAGAGCCGGGCGCAGACCAAGAGGAAGGAGGGGCTGGGGTCGCGGAGCAAGAGCAGGGGCGGGGTCCGGAGTAAGAATGGAGGCGTGGACCTGAGCAGGGGCGTGGCCAAGAGTAAGAGGAAGGTTACGGCCAGGTGCAAGACTTGAGACCCCGACGGGGGCGGGGCGAAGCGCTGGAGCCTGTGCTATCACTCAGAGCTGTCTGGACAGCCCTGGAGAGCTGCCTCACCTGCCACTATTGAACCGGGCGTTATCCAGGCTACATTGCGCTCTGCCAAGCCGTGTCCCCTGCCAGCCCTGTGAGATCGAAAGGAGAGAGACAGACAGACGGACAGGTACAAGTCCTGCGGGCGCTGTGGAAGATGCTACTTTCTGTGAGCCGGAACTTTGCCCATGGACCTGCACAAGGTGAGGGGACAGTGCAGGAGAAAGGGGCCTGAGTGGGGGGGGGGCTGCACCACCACACGGCATGGGTCTGGACATCTGGCCCACCTCTCTTAGAAAAATACCTGGGCTTCCCTTACTACCTGAAGGTCAACTGCTCCTTTGAGGGAGAGGCTGAGTGGGTGCAGTAGGGAGTGGGCCGACCCAGCCTCAGTTTCCCCGTCTCTAACATTATTTGTGTGTGTGTGTGTGTGTGTGTCAGTCGTGGGGCCTGTACTCTGGGCCTGGGCACTGCCCCTCAGCTCTTCAGCTCAAGGCTAGCGCTCTACCACTTGAGCCACAGCCCCACTTCCGGCCTTTTCTGCTTATGTGGTGCTGAGGAATCGAACCCAGGGCCTCATGCATGCAAGGCAAGCACTCTACCACTCTTCCTAGCCCATCTCTAACATTTTAATAGAGCTAGTATCAAAGTGATAAACCTGCAGGATTGAAGATTATCTATGTACAGGTCCCAGTGCCCCACCAAGGATAGAAAAGGAGCCCCAAGTGAGCTGCTTTCACTTAATTTTTATTGAAATATAGCTCACAAATATAGTTCACAAAAAGTATACTTTACAGTGCTGGGGAAGGAACCTAAAGCTTTGGAGTGTTAGACATGTGCTCTGCTTGAGCTACATTCTAGCCCCAAACTCAGTATTTAAAAGTGTACTTCCCTGTTTGTGTCTTTTTTTTTTTGGTCAGTACTGAATCTTGAACTCAGGGTCTGTCCTTAGCTTTTTTTTTTTTGCTCAAGGCTGATCTTCTGCCATTTGAGCCACAGCTCTACTTTTGGATTTTTGGTTATTCCTTGGAGATAAGTGTCTCACAGATTTTCTGTCCCACGCTGGCTTTGAACCAAATCTCAGCCTCCTTAGTAACTAGGATTATAGACATGAGCACTGGTGCTCAGCTTTCTTTCATACTTTTTAGTATATTTATGAAGTTGTGTAACCATCATCACTGTTATTCCAGAACTCTTTGATTATCCCAGAAGAAGTCCTGTGCCCATTAGTACTTCATTCTCCACTCTCCCACAGCCCTGGAAATCATTACTCTTCTACCTTCCACTATGAATTTGCCTAGCCTGACTTTTTCACATATGTGCAATCTGACAATGTGCTGATTTGTGTTTGGCTGTTTTTGTTTGATATTTTCAAGGCTTGTTCATATTGTAGCATGCATTGTCCTTTTTGTGGCTGCATTTCATTCTTCTGCATGAATGTGTCACATCTTCATCTGCTCATTATTTGATGAATATTTGGTTTATTTCCCCTGTTCCACCATTATGAAGAATGCTGCTATGGGCCTTTGTGTACAAGCTTTTGTGCTATGGTGTCTTTTCAGTTGTCTTTGGTGTATAGCTAGAAGTGGGGTTGCTAAGTCATATGCTAACCTACTTTAAGGAAGTTCCAGTTTTCCAAAGCAGTTTTGTTATGTTTCCATTCCCATCAGCAATGTGTGAGTCTCAGTTTCTCTACATTCTTGCCAACACTAGTTAGTATCCATGCTGGTGTGTGTAAAGTGATACTGCGGTGTTTTTGTTTTTTGTTTTGGTCAGTCATGGGGCTTGAACTCTGGGCCTGGGTGCTATCCCTGAGCTCTTCAGCTCAAGGCTAGTGCTCTACCACTTGAGCCACAGCGCTACTTCCAGCCTTTTCTGCTTATATGGTGCCTCATAAATGCAAGGCAAGCACTCTACCTTTCCGAGCCCTTGTTTTTTATTTATTTATATTTTTGGTAGGTTATGGGACTTGAACTGGGGACCTAGGCACTGTCCCTGAGCTCTTTTCCTCAAGGGTAGCACTTCCACAGCTTCATTTTCAGTTAATTAGAGATAAGAGTCTCATGGCCTTTCCTGCCCCAGCTGGCTTTGAACCATGATTCTCAAATCTCAGCCTCCTGAGTAACTATGATTACAGGTGTGAACCACCAACACCCTGGCTTATTTCAATCTCTTGTTAGACAGGTGCTCTGCCACTTGAGCCAAGCTCCACCTGGTGTTTCAGTTCTCTTGTATTAAACTTCTTATTTAAAATCTGCTTTATGTCCTGAAATATGATGTATTTTGGAGAAATTTCCATGGATTGATAAGAATAAGTATTCTGTGGCTGTTGGGTGGAATAGTCTATAGATGTCTGTTAAGTGCATGGGATGTATATTTATTGGTTTTAATTACTATAATTACTTCTACAAGGAAGAGAGTTCATTGTGACATTTCCACACATGGATACAATATATCTCAGTCAACCTCTCTATTTTTCTCTCTTTCCTCCTTCTTCCCTTATTTTGGAAGCACTAGGCTTTAAATTCTGGGTCTTGGGCTCGGTGGTAGAGGGCTTGCCTTGTATACATGAGGCCCTGGGTTCGATTCCTCAGCACCACATAAGCAGAAAAAGCCGGAAATGACACTGTGGCTCAAGTTGTGGAGAAGTTGCCTTGAGCTGAAGAGCTGAGGGACAGCACCCAGGCCCAGAGTTCAGGCCCCACAACTGACAAAAAAAAAAAAAAAGAAGCTGGGTACCAGTGGCTCACATCTGTAATCCTAGCTACTCAGGAGGCTGAGATATGAGGATCATGGTTCAAAGCCAACCTGGCAGGAAAGGCCGTGAAACTCTAATCTCCCAGAGTTCAAGTCCTATGACTGACAAAATAATAATAATAAATACATAAATAAATTCTAGGTCTTAGGCTTGTTAGGCAGGCTCTCCCACTTTTTTTTTTTTTTTTGGTCCGGTCGTAGGGCCTGAACTCTGGGCCTGAGCACTGTCCCTCAGGTCTTCAGCTCAAGGCTAGCGCTCTACCACTTGAGCCACAGCACCACTCCTGGCTTTTTTCTTTTCGCTTTTGTGGTGCTGAGGAATCGAACCCAGGGCCTCAGGCTTGCAAGGCAAGCGCTCTACCACTGAGCCACCTTCCCAGCCCTTTTTTTTTTAGTGTGTTGGCCCTTGGACTTGAACTCAGGGAATGAGCAGTGTCCCTGAGGTTTTTTGCTCAAGTCTAACACTCTACCACTAGAGTCACAACTTCACTTCCAGCTTTTTTTTGCTGGTTAATTGGAGACAAGAGTCATATGAACTTTTCTGCCAAGGCTGGCTTCAAACCGTGATCCTCAGATCTCAACCACCTGAATAGCTAGAATTATAGTATTAGCCACCAGTGCCTGGCTTCCTTCCCTACTTTTAAAAATAAGTGTCAATAGGTTGAGCACTCTGGTGCCTCTCTCTTTCTCTCTCTCTTTTCCTTAAATGGTGTTAGGGATGGTTCTCATGGCCTTACACCCCCAGCTACTTCCTTTATAGTGCAGAGGAGAAAGAGAGAGAGAGATGCTAACAGACAGACATGCTATATCACACCTAGCTATGTGGCTTTGGACAGATGGCTTGCCTTCATTGACCATATTTTCTTAATCTTCACAGTGTAACAGAATGAAGATACTGGTTTCCACTTTCCCCTTCTTTGTGATGATATGAAGATTGAAGAAGTTGGTATATGTAAGGGTCTTGGTGCTAGGGTCACGGTGAGTTATAGAAGATTATTATTATGATTTGCCCTATTATTAAACTTTTTTTTGTGCCAGTCCTGGGACTTGAACTCAGCACCTGAGTACTGTCCCTCAGCTTCTTTGCTCAAGGCTAGTGCTCTACCACTTGAGCTACAGCTCTACTTTCTGCCATTGTTGGTGTTTAATTGGAGCTAAAAATCTCAAGGAGATCCCTTCCCGGGCTGGCTTCCAACCATGATCTTTAGATCACAGCCTCCTGGGTAGCTAGGTGTGAGCCACCATCACCTGGTTGTTAGACTTTATTTGCAGGTAGAGATTCCTCGTGTATTTAAAAGTGGCTTTATGAACTTAAGTCTCACCTTATCTACCAGTTTGTGTTACTCAAAAAAATGGGGGCAGCCTCTTAGTCCTAAGACAGCCCTGAGGTATGCTTTTTTTTTTTTTTGGTCAGTTGTGGGGCTTGAACTCTGGGCCTGGGTGCTGTCCCTCAGCTCTTCAGCTCAAGGCTAGCACTCTACCACTTGAGCCACAGTGCCACTTCCGGTTTTGTTTTTTGTTTTTGTTTTTGCCAGTCCTGGGGCTTGAACTCAGAGCCTGGGCACTGTCTCTGAGCTTCTTTTGCTCAAGCCTCGTACTCTACCACCTGAGCCACAGTACTACTTCCAGCTTTTTCTGTTTCTATGGTACTGAGAAATCGAACCCAGGGCTTGATGCATGCTAGGCAAGCACTGTACCACTGAGCCACATCCCCAGCCCCTCTGGTGCTTTATTGGAGATAAGAGTCTCATGGACTTTCCTGCCTGGGCTGGCTTTGAACCGCAATCCTCAGCTCTCAGCCTCTTGAATAGCTAGGATTACAGGTGTGAGCCACCTGCACCCGGCTGAGGTGTGCATTTTAAAGGACAGATAAGGGGCTGGGAATGTGGCTTAGTGGTAGAGTGCTTGCCTCGCATGCATGAAGCCCTGGGTTCAATTCCTCAGTACCACATACACAGAAAAAGCTGGAAGTGGCGCTGTGGCTCAAGTGGTAGAGTGCTAGCCTTGAGTAAAAGCAGCACAGGGACAGTGCCTAGGCCCTGAGTTCAAGCCCAGGAATGGCAAAAAAAAAAAAGGCCAGATAAAGGTGGGGCTGACAGCTAGGGGGTCTTGGAGGTTGGGAGGCACTATAGGTCTCAGGGGTCCACCTGATCCCATGCTCACCTTTCCTTTTGGCAGCTACATGCTGACCTTGACTGTTGGTGGACCTACAGCTGTGAGGAATGGGCAATCTGTCCATCTGCTACAACAGCCCCAGGACAAGTAAGCCCTGTAGCCTGCCCAGATTCTGCCTTCCTTTCCACACAGGCTGCACCCATGTCTCCCCTGCCAGGCTGGCCCTATCTTACTATAAGCCCTATTATATGCTCTGCTCAGGTGGAGATTAAATGGCTCTACACAGCCTCATCTGAATTCAAAGACTGAAAAGCCATGACATTCACATCATGTCCCATGCATCAAAGGCTTGTGCAAGCCTCTGCCCCCAATTTTTTTTTTTTTTTGGTCGGTCATGGGGCTTGAACTCTGGGCCTGCGCACTGCCCCTGAGCTCTTCAGCTCAAGGCAAGCACTTTATCATTTGAGCCGCAGCACCACTTCTGGTTTTCTGGTGGTTAATTGAAGATGAGTCTCCTGGATTTTCCTGTCTGGGCTGGCTTTGAACCGGGATCCTCAAATCTCAGCCTCCTGAGTAGGATTACAGACGTGAGCCACTGGTGCCCAGCTCCCTAATTGTTTTGAGACTGAGTCTCTCTATGCAGCCCAGACCAACCTAGAATTCTTTTTTTTTTTTTTATTGTAAAGATACTATACAGAGGGTTACAGTTACATGAGTAAGGTAATGAGTACACTTCCTATTGAGCATTGTTACCCCCTCCATTGTTTTCCCCCTACTATCCCTTCCCTCCCTACCTTCCCCAGGTTCTTTTTTTTTTTTTGATTGTGATTAAGTGATTACATAATTTCCCGAATTTCACAGTATTGTGGAATAATGATGCTCATTTAAAGTCACAAGTTCCTAGACTTCTTAACCCTCCTGCCTCAGCCTCTAGAATGCTAGCACTACAGGTATGTATCACCATTCCTGGATTTGTGCAAGTAACCTGAATGTGCATCTGTCCATCAGGCATTCCCATCCTTCATCCTTCTGGGAGGCTTCTAGATCTCCCATCCATGCTGACTACTTTTGTGTTTCTCAAAGAGGACCTGAGCTTGTCACAACAGGACCCTGTGTTTGTGATGGAAGTCTCTCCCTTTCTACTTCAAGCCATAATTCAGATAACTCTTTATCCTCCAATGCTTTTTTTTTTTTAACCTATTCAGGACATAAGAGTGGCAATCTCTTGCCTCTGCTGTCCTGAACCCTCTTCTAGAACCTCTCATCCCTTCCATGACCCTCCCTGACAACTCTTGAGGTTTCTTGTCTCCTGTTTTTTTTTTTTGTTTGTTTTTTTGCCAATCCTGGGACTTGAACTCAGGGTCTAGGCACTGTCCCTGATCATCTTTTTGTTCAAGGCTAGCTCTCTACCACTTGAGCCACAACACCACTTCCCGCTTTTTCTGTTGATGTGGTCTTGAGGAATGGAACCCAGGGCTTCATACATGCTAGGCAAGCACTCCACCTCTCCTCTGGTTTTTGTTTTTGTTTTTTGTCAGTCGTGAGATCTGAACTCTTGGCCTGAGTGCTGTCCCTCAGCTCTTCAGCTCAAGGCTAGCGCTCTACCCATTTGAGCCACAGTGCCACTTCGGGCTTTTTCAGCTTATGTGGTGCTGAGGAATCAAACCCAGGGTCTCATGCATGCAAGGCAAGCACTGTACACGAGCCACCTTCCCAGCCCCTCTCCTCTGTTCTTTACAGGACCCGACTCAACATAGTCTCTTCTGAATGAAAAAGTGATCACTTGCGTATAGTACCTTATGGTAGGTATTGATTGGCAGCTAAACAGAGGTGGTGGTGGCTGGATAAAGGATGGAGGAACAAGTTAGCACAGAGGGGCCCAATAACTGCTTCTTGCTCAGTGCTAGGAAGAAAATGATTTCCATGGGTAAATGAAGACAGTGGGTAAATGAAACAAGTAACCAACTGCCCCTAGTCAGTGATCAGCCTGTGTTTATTGAATAGGGGAGGGAGAAAGAGAGAAGACCTTAGGCTTTGTGTTGTAAGTGTTCCAGCTTTGCTTGTTGGACAGAGGCATGAAACGGATGAGAGGAGACAGGTTTTGTCTTCTCTCACAAGAACATTTGCCTATAATGTGCAAGGCCCTCGTCTGGATCCCTAGTGGAGAGAGAGGAGGGAGAGGGAGAGAGAGAAAGAAGGGGGAAAGAAAGAGGGAGAGAGAGAGATTAGAGAAAGCACCTAGCATTGCTCTCCCAGTGTGGGGCAGAGGAGGGAGTGGGAGTGGCACACACTAAGAAGGGTGGTTGGTCGTACAGGTGCCTGACTTTGCTCTCCCAGAAGGCTATGTCTGGAGAACTCCTCAATGCAGAGATGGCATCTTCTCCCCTGAGTTTTTCTGCAAGATGATGAGCAGAAGATGAGCCAGTTACAAAGGCATGTTGACTGTGACTCCTGTGGTACTTGACTTCTCCCCCAATCCTGAGCCCATTCAGTGACTACCTGCTCATCTTCCATGGTGAGCTGCACCTTCATGAGTTCCCACTCCATGGCGATTGGGCCCTGTTCTTCATCCCTGTGTGTGAAAGTCCAGGAGCTACACCACAGGGTGTGCAGGACTGTCTACCCATCCCTACTGTCTGTTGCCTGCAGGTGACAGCCAGCTGTTTTGTGGTCCTAGTGATCCTTTCCATCTTCTCCTGCTGGAGAGTACATAATGCCACTCTCCGTGAAGTCTTCCGCGGTCTTCTCAGACAAGTTCCAGATAGAGCTCCAAGCAACTCTTCAGGACAAGGATGAACCTAAACATCCTTGGGCAAACAATCACTGGCCCCTATCTCTAGCCTGCTCTAACTCCCATGTACCCTCAGGCCTCTCCTGTTAGACCTTTTATGGAAACACTGCTTGCCTTCCACACAGGCCTCTCTGTTTTGCTTGAATGTTTACTACCTATTCAGATCCAAATAAACCCTCATTTCAGTACCAGCAAGGAGCCCTCCCTCAGGTTCACTTGGATTGTGCTATCCCAGCTGCACAGGTCAATAAAATATGAAAGCCTTTCTTTACTATGGCCAATGCTTCTTTGTCTGCACATCAGTCACATCCTCAGATCGAGTGTTGAAGAACTAGACACTAAAGGTGGAAGGTACTGAGAGACTAAAGAACGCTACACATGGATCCAGGACTTAGTACTTGTTCTTAGCATACAATTCCTTGGGGTCTTAGGGACAGAACTGTGTTGAAGGTTGGCAGCAAGACCAGTAGATTCCTGCCCTTGGGTCAGAGGGAAGGAACTTCTAAACTGAGCAAAACAAAAGTCATCTAGGCCCATATGCCTTGTCTCTCAACATCAAAGCTTTCAGGTGCCGAGTGCTGGTGTCTCACACCTGTCACCCTAGCTACTCAGGAGGGTAAGATCTGAGGATGATAGTTCAGAGCCATCCCAGGCAGGGAAATCTGAGACTTTTACCAAAAGAAGCTGGAAGTTGAACTGTGGCTCAAATGATAGAGAGCTAGCCATGAGCAGAAAAGCTCAGGGGCAGCACCCAGTCCAAATTTAAGCCCCATAGCACACAGACAAAATACCTTGGTTTTTGTGGGGGAAATCTGTGGGGAACACAGGTAGCAAAGATGGCCCTGAGAGGAAGTTGAGTGGGCAGAGCTAGATTTGTTTAGGTTCAGTGTGTAAACATCTCACAGAAGCTTGGGTGCATGATAAGGTATGGCCTTTCAGTGATTGGTTGATCCCATTTCCTCTCCTCCCACGCAGTCTTTTGCTTTAAAAAGGGGATTATCCCTGTTAATAAAGGAGCTCCTGCTTGACTTGACTCCCCGCTGCATCTGATTGTCTCCTGGGCTAAGGGAGGCTGGGGAACAGGCAAGCGGCGGCACTTACCTCTCCTCCGACCCCATCAGGACGAAGACCCAACAGGTTTTACATGCCTTTTAAGGCATATAGGGCTCTAGCCTTTAACTCATGGTATAGTGATGATGAAAATGGGACATGAGCATAAAAGAACTGTCTTGGTCAAGCAGCAGAGGAAAGGGATGGTGAAAGGCAAGGGTAGGAAGGGGGAAGGCAAAGTGGCCACCAAATGTACTATATGTGTTTTGTATGCATATAAAATATGAAACTCTTAAAAAGCATGTGTGTGTGTATATTTTTCCTTAGTCGTGGAGCTTGAACTCGGTGCCTGCACACTTTCCCTGAGGTCTTGCTCAAGGCTAGTTCTCTTAACACTTTGAGCCACAGCACCACTTCCAATTTTCAGGTGGTTTATTGGAGATAAGCATCTCAGGGCCTTTCTTACCCAAGCTGGCTTTGAACCATGATCCTCAGATCTTGGCCTTTTGAGTGGCTAGGATTAGACATGACCACCATTACCTAGCCTCTGTTGTTTTGATTTGCATTACTTCTATAGATAATTATGTTGAACATTTTTTTTTGTCAGTCATGGGCCTTGAACTCTGCTCCTGAGTACTGTCCTTGAGCTTCTTTGGTTCAAGGCTAACACTCTACCACTTGAGTGCCATTTCTGGCTTTTTTTTGCGTATGTGGTGCTGAGGAATTGAGCGAGGCAAGTACTCTACCACTGAGCTACCTTCCGAGTCCCATATATTGGAATATTTCTAATTCTGTATTGCACAAGATTAGCTTCCTTTTTCTTCGTCCCTGTGAAAAATTCCAATTTTTTTTTTTTGGGGGTCCGGTCATGGGGCCTGAACTGTGGGCCTGGACGCTGTCCTTCAGCTCTTCAGCTCAAGGCTAACGCTCTACCACTGAGCTACAGTGCCACTTCCGGCTTCTTTCTTTTTGCTTACGTGGTGCTGAGGAATTGAACCCAGGGCCTCAGGCATGCAAGGCAAGCGCTCTACCACTGAGCCACCTTCCCAGCCTCTCCAGTTCTTTAATATGCATCTTTAGGGAGATTTATTAGGAATGCTGAGGACATCACCTCTCTTGTTTAGTCTCACCTTCTATGCCTGCATCACAGGGAACCAACTTGCCTGTCTTCCTCCTTTTCTGGAGGATATGAGATTCCCAAATGTTTACCCCAAAAACAGGTTCCATAAATTAATGCTTACAAGGAAATTGCTAGAACTCAAGGCATCCCATGTCAGAGATCATTCTAAAGTTAAAAATGAAATGCCTTCTGGAGATTATTTTTTGTCAGTTGTGGGGCTTGAACTTGGGCACTGTCCCTGATCTCTTTTGATCAAAGCTAGCACTCTACCATTCTATCACTTTGTATCACATCTCCACTTCCAGTCTCCCTTGCTCTCCCCTCCACTGTGGGGCTGGACGCTGTCCCTGAGCTCAAGCCACACAACTGAAAAAAAAAAGTCTCACAGGGACTTTTCTGTCCAGGCTGCTTTGAACCACAATCCTTACAATTCTTACATCTCAGCCTCCTGAGTAGCTAGGATTACAGATGTGAACCACCAGCAACAGCCAGAGATTTTTTTGTTGTTGGTTGTGGGGCTTGAACTCTGGGCCTGGGCACTGTCTCTGAGCTCTGCAACTCAAGGCTAGCCCTCTACCACTTTGAGCCACAATACCACTTCCGGTTTTCTGATGGTTAATTGGAGATAAGAGTCCCATGGACTTTCCTGCCTGGGTTGGCTTTGAACCATGATCTTCAGATCTCAGCCTTCTGAGTAGCTAGGATTACAGATGTGAGCCACCAGCGCCTGGCGCCAGCTAGAGATTCTTTTTTTTTGTCAGTCATGGGGCTTGAACTCTGGGCCTGGGCGCTGTCCCTCAGCTCTTCAGCTCAAGGCGAGCACTCTACCACTTGAGCCACAGCACTACTTCCAGTTTTCTAGTGGT